GTATGCATTTGGAAGCATGTTTTGATGATTACAAAGTATTAGAAGCCTGTTCCCAAGAATCAGGTTGTTATTTAATCGAAGCAAAAATACTTATTTAATATCCATTGACAAAGTGACGATCATTATGAGCTCGATCTTTGGTGGCGGCGATAATAACGATAGCTTGAACGTGATAATTTTCGACGCATCCAAAAATGAAAGGAAACTGAATGAGGAGTTCAAAGTTTTGCAACGAAAATTAAAGTCGAAATGGAAATTCGTCGAGTAATGCCGTATTAATTCAATAAAAAATTCTTGTAATGTAATTTGGTCCATAATGCAATGATTATACTTTAGAAATAACGATGTATTGACGGAGAAATCGTTATCAACGGGGAAAGTATTGGTATTGCCTGGTCCACAAAATAGATTCACAGAATTAGAAATGAACGCTATTAGAACGTTCTTAAATTCTGGTGGACACGTTTTAGTTATGCTTGGTGAAGGTGGCGAGAAAAAATCAAATACTAACGTCAACTTTTTATTAGAAGAGTTTGGTATAATGGTCAACAATGGTATATCTATATTGTACAATTTTTTAAACGGAAATGACATGAAATATTATACTTCGATTACTTATTTCATTTTTAGATAGTGTAATACGCATGAGTTATAGTCAGACAATGCATCCAAAGGAGTGTTTAATTTCTCAAGGGATGTCAAATAAATCAATCTTCTCGAGAAATCGCGATGAATACACGTAAACAGCTTAACTATGAAATTGAATTAATTGTTGGATGAAAGTAGCATTGCGATTTTTAATTTGTTTCAGAGAGATTAATTTTTTATATCCGTATGGTGCAACTTTAAATGTGGCACAACCATCGATAGTTGCATTATCCACTGGCTCGATTGCCATTCCAATAAACAGACCAATTTGTGCTTACCATTGCAATCAAGACAATAGCGGAAAATTGCTTGTCTTAGGTTCATCGAGAATGTTAACAGACATGTATATTGAGAAAGAAAAGAATGATTCTTTAAGGGAAATGATTTTTGACTTTTTCGAATCCAAAGATCTTGTGATCAAAGAATCTCACTTCGACGATGTTGATGTAAGTTTCCGAGTCATATTAACTGTTTACATTTAATTTATTATTACTAATAATATCATTTATATAGTTTTGGGAGTACAATTTTATCC